GTACCTCTCAACACGCCACTGGTAAGCACAAGTCTGAGCACACATCAGATAACAACAGTGCAGCCACGTCACAGACGGCAGAAATCCTGAAGGTGCTGAAAGCGTTTTCTGCACGAGACATCACAAGGAGACAAGTCAGACATCCTATGTCTCAGCGCAGACCAAGCCAGACACCCAGAACACTGCTCGTCAGCATCAGACCACAGAGCTCACGGTCGCATCACAAGCGACAACACCAAGCAGCCACCACAACTGACAGCTGCACAACCTGAGGCATGACAGTCCGGTGTCCCACACAAGACCGGTCCTAACCGCTCATCGATCACAACACCAGCCCAGATGCCTAAACTTCTGGAACCCTAAACAAAGGGGGGTGGCACAAAAGACTCTACATAGCCACCACGAGAGACAATCATTTGAGCCTCGAAGGCCTCTCAGACACTAGCTCAAACATCACGCTAATGTCAGCCCAACTCTTCGAAAGACTCACCGCTAAAGCTAAGAGTCAAGAACGCACTCTCAAAGCCCAAACATGTGAGCTGAATGAAAACCTACAGCCAAAACAACTTCTGGCTCAAAACAGGTTGCTCCATTCATCCATTTGGTCCTATGAGCCTGATTCACCCAGGGTACCGATCACGAACGATCACGTACCCACTTCTGATTGCCCAAGATCTGTTAGATCGCTTTGAGCCTTTAATAGACTTTAAACAACTGAATGCCTGAGCTCAAGTTCAAGAACCCCTCCCCCTCCAGTCATACAGGTCAAGAGAACTAACTGGCAGGTCACAGAGGTCACAAAACTCCCGCAGCCAGCCATGAAGGCACAGCCTCAGCACCAAATGGAGAGGTGAACTTGCTACTCTGCACCTTTCAGCTCACTAAAGACTTTGACTAACCAAATGAACTCTGAAACTAACCTCTTTACCCCTCCAACTCCCAAGCCTGCCGTCGGACACATCAGGCAGCACCCAAGAACATGCTGCTCAACGGCCCTACAACTCAGTTTCATGCACCTCGTGACATCACTTCGCCACGGCTTGTGCTGCCACGGTGCAGAAAGGGGGATATGCCAGTGTATGCCCAGTCACGCACCATGTGGGCTGCACACCGCAGCACCAGGACATCTCGGCATCCTCAAAGCATCAGACTGTCCCAGCCGACAGCCGCTGAATTCTTTCCTCCCTTTCTCTCGCTCTCTCCCTGTCTCTGTTACAGGATGCTGCTGTGGTCGTCTTCCTGTGCCTCCGCCAACCAGAGGACAGCTACGGTCGACCGCCTCACGCGGGGTCCGACATCAGGCAGGCATATGGTCGACTGCCACGCAAGCAGAGCTAAATGGACTCCCACGCCGCTGCTGTCAGTACGCAGTCAAACACCGGCCTGTCCAGCAACCAAACGAACTGAAATTCCACAGCCAAAAGGTAACTCACAACACAGAGTGCCTCCTCACAGACCATCAAGAAATTGAAAGGAACTGTGATAAATCCGCAACGCACACAGCATTCTACTGAACCAGACAAGTGAGCTCCAGCGAGACAAACTGTTCACTGTCTGCCAGAATGACTTTGCTAAAATTCACCAAGCAGCCTTTGCTCCAAGACCCGAGCTACCCTGCTGCAACCGAGCCTGAGTCAAGTCCCAGCCAGGACGAAACCCACGATTTCACCCTGATTCCAGAACTGGAATTATGAACGATGATAGAAGGGGTCCAGCCAAACTGGACTTGTCCCCAGTGACCGCTGTGTCTCAACTGCACACCTGTTGCACTGCACAACTGCCTCACCGGTAGTCCAATCCTGGACTGCAGCTGATTCTGCACTGGGTACCTCTACGGTAATCAACCACACCCTGACACTTGACATCCACGCTGCACAAGAGGCAAGGAAATGCAAACCTCCACAGCCACCACGGGACCCTCAGGAAGAGGGTACCACGCTGGAGACTGCGTCAAACCTCAGCAAGCTGAGCCCCTACCTCAGCCTAGCCGCCGCCTGCCACCTGACCCTCATGATTCACCTGCCATCCGTCCATTGCGATGGTGTCGTTCGATGAAGTCACACAAGGACTTCACCTAACGAAAAGGGGGAGATGTAATGAATCTTGGCCAGGCGAGTTACATCAACACATACACACACACACACAAACCTTTCACTTCCCCCACACATCGGAATGTGTGGAATGTTTTTGAACAAAGAGAAGGACTTTTGGTGTTTAAAAACATTCAACAAAATGTTTTCAATGGTTTTTATGTATATGTGTCTTCCCCATGTCACAGTGAAATAACTTTGTTTGATCACAGTTTAAATAGGAATTAAAAATACCTTCGTCATGCATTTGAAACATAAGTGTATATTCCTTTGATATAACATAATGTTCCTTGATATCTCTAGAATGCTTATGAATGAAACACTCGAATATGCATAGAGATGTAAAGTAAAGTGTATTTTTAATTCGTTGTACTGCCAATGAAGATCAAATTGCTATTGCAAAACCCTCATTTAACACACCCCCTTCCACGAGAAGCGCGCGCTGAGGAACAAAAGAAAGCTTCCCGCGTGCAACATCCACTCTCCGATTGGCTCAAGCCAACAGGAAGGGGATGGATTTCTCCAAGGTGATAAATGTGAGAACGCAGGTCCGCCCTCGCTCTTCTTCTGAACTTTCCAGCGCTCAACATGTAAACCTCACGGGACTCTGATCCAACCATGGGTCTTTCCTTTTGTTCGTCTAAAAGTTTCATCTTTTCCTCAAGTGGACTACCAAGTTCGTCTTCCAGGAAAGGAAGTGGACTTTGCCGAACTATCTCCTCGGGTAACGTCACCTCAAAGACTCTCAGCCTTTCAAACACTGGCGCTAAATGCCGACGAACGCCACGTGACTCCCCACGGAACAAAGCAGCCATGAACGAGCCGGGACGGGCCGCACCAACATGCCGCGGCCGCGCTTCACGTGACGCACGCGCGCCGGACCGGCGCACCTCTAGCCGACACGTGGCCCGAACGGGACGAGCAACGAGCCCACGACTCACACAGACCACATGTGCCTTGCAAGTATACCTTCTTTTAGAGCTTCTAAGAAGCATTAAGAAGATGTTTTTTGGGGTGTCAAGAAGGTTAACTGACTGTTTTGATGAACGTAACTCTCTCTCTCTCTTACAACTCACTCTCTCTCTCACTCTCTCCTCAAACTCACTTAACTTCTTGCGCGTATCCATTGTCTAAACGCTCTGCGTCGTCTTAGTTTGTGTTTTAATGTTTGTAAATACATGTATCATTGTAACGTAGTGAATGCTTAAGTAGTAACTTTATTAAATGCAAAATATGCTTACCTTGACTGATTGTCTTGCTCATAATACGGGTCAATGAAATGTCAATTTAAGCTACACGCTTTACAGAACTATAAATACCTAAGAGGGTATTTGGTTATAGAGCAGGGAAGGCAGATTCTAGTGGCCACAGAATTTGTTTTCACAAGCTATATAACTTAATTGAGCTAATTGATTTTGCCTGTCTTGTAAAACGTGGTCCTTGCAATCAATAACAATTAATTTGTGGTTGATTGCGGGGATGCACATGTATGCATATGGGTAAAATTAATAAATTAACATGTAAGACCGGTCTGATCCAAATCTGTATGAATAATTATTAATTATCAATTATTAATTATGATATGCAAATTCCCCCTGATCAGAACCGACCAGAGTCTTTACAATATTTACAAATATCATATTATCTTACCCTCAGGGCCCAACGCCAATCCCCTTGCATTAGCTATAGTTGCTCCCATTATATATCCTAGACCACTAAATGAAAATTTAAAAGAATACATTCCGTCAGAAAGAGTAAGATTCAGCAAAAGTCTTGTAAACATGGAAACATTGTATTGTATATATGAAGAGTTCAGATGCAAAAGCCTCTAAATGCCATTTGAAATTTTCTTCTTTAATGACGATTTTTATCAAACTTGTATATTTAAGTTCAGTAATTTCACTTAAATAACAATTAATAGGTAATTATCATTGCCATTTAAGTTAAATTACTGAACTTAAATATACAAGTTTGATAAAAAATCATCATTAAAGAAGAAATTTCAAATGGCATTTAGAGGCTTTTGCATCTGAACTCTTCATATACACTCTAAAAAATGCTGGGTTGTTTTGACCCAATTTTGGGTAAAATATGAACAAACCCAGCCATTGGGTTACATTTTTAAATTACATTTTTAACCCAATGGCTGGGTTTGTCTATATTTTACCCAAAATTGGGTTAAAACAACCCAGCATTTTTTAGAGTGTAAGAATCCCAGTGTTGGGTAAAGAATTACAAGAAAGTGAGTGTTATAATCAGACTACTTTTACAAGTAATGCGTAATATCTTTTTTTATTTGTTATTAAAAAAACAACCAAGCAAGCCAGCCCAGGTGACAAAAAGTAACTCAAAAGTTATTTATCACATTACTTAAAAGTAATTAAGTACTGCAATCAGTTCGTTTTTAAGGAAGTAGCGTAATATTGTTAACGCATTACTTTTAAAAGTAACTTTCCCCAATGCTGGCCATCTCTGCCATCTGATTTTATACAACAGATAGAAGAGGCTTGTTCTAAACAAACCACAACAGAATTATCTCTGTGCGCCCTTCGTAGTTCACATTTGTCTGCAACTGCAACATATGTCAATGAGGATGTCTTATTTCAGAAAAGTAACCATTATAAAATTGACTGTTATTCTTTGTGAGGCGTAAATTACTGTAAGTTCTTTATTAATTTGCAGTGAAATGGTTATTGTTTTCTTAAATGAGCCTCGACAGTTTCTGAATTAATCAGAACTTCAAACAAATCAGTTGACTGATCTGAATGAGACAATTGTTTCGCTCCTGAATCAATCCATTTTTGAATTAATCATTTGAATAAACGAGTCGATGACACACTTGTAAAGACAGTCACTTGTCATCCCTACTGGCATAAAGATGGTTAGGGTGTGGGGTAGGGTTAGGGGTTAGAATTTGTTTTACCATTGTGTTGGCAAAAAGCTCTCTGATTTACATAACCAATGAAATCTTTCAGAGTTTGCTCTGACATGGGCTGCATCTTAAGCCTTT